CACCAATAAAGATAGAAAACAATGAAGAACCTGGCTAAAATTGAAACTGAAAACTTAGAGAAAAAAAATAAAACAAAGATTGTTACAGACGTAGGCTATTGTGTGCCAAAGAAAGTGGAAAACTGTATGACCTCCTGTAACCCCTAACCCTTTCTGCCCTCTCACCTTTATAGCGCTCCCTTCCACACCTCCACCAGTGGTAGAGCAAAATATAGGTCAGTTTATCAACCTAAACAAAACACCACCACCCAAACCAAATAAACCAGAAACAAACCACACCTAAACACCAACAACTATAAATAGGGATGGGAATCAAAAACTGGTTCCTGTTCCGCAGTTCAGGGAGCAAGTAGAAATCAGGGGGAGATGAGTTTATTTTCCTGAAATTGTACAGTAATGCTTTTTCATTAAACGGATGCCGTCTCCATTAGATTTAGATGACTGTGACGAGACTCAATAAGAGAATTGATAAGGAATCGAATTGTTTCACAGAATCGATAAGGGAATCGCCCAATTCCCACGCCTAACTATAAATGGATCCTACAAGCAGGGTTTAGTCATAAATAATGTAACTAAAATGTATCAGAATCAATGGGAAGGCATAAAGTGGGTAGAGGTGCAGACATCTAGGCGTGTATGTGTGTGAGAGTACCACGTCACTCTGAGTGGTGTAAACATTGTCTGCCAAGCTCTCCAGGGCGATCCACTTGACGGGCAGTTTGGAAACAGAACCCTGACGGTAATAATCTCCACTGTAGATCTTCTTAGAGAGTCCAAAGTCTGCCACACACACCGACATGCTTTCATCCAGCCTGAAACATACAGAAGAACAATCTAGAACTCTCCTCTTCATGTTCCGGGCCTGCAGATATCACACATAGTCTGGACTTTGACTAGCTCAGTGTGCGTCTAGGTGATGATGAGTCAACCTAACAGAAATTAATAGATAATTCACTAGGTTCTGTGGTGAACCAATAGGAATCAAGGAGAAAATTTCCAATGTAATCAAAGCTATGACTGCACTTATACGCACCAATCAGATACTGAAATTGGACATCAACTCTTGATTTTGACCAATTAGCTGGATCGGATATCCGATGAATGATGCTGATCTAGTCATTTCTATTTCTACTGATATTATACACAGTCATACAGTAACAGTGATGTAATGACTTTAATCCTATATATCACTGATTATGTCATCCCACAGAAAACACACGGCAGCAGCTTTGTTTCTGGCAGCCATCTTAGATTTGGTCTTAGTCTTCGGGACAAAAACTATTAGTCTTAGTCACATTTTAGTCATTACGATATGTGATAGTTTCAGTCAGTTTTATGTTGCACTTCATAAAAAAGTGAACCTTTACAATTTGGAATAAAACCAGGTTCTTTTCCAGACTGACAGCTCTATCCTAGATGCTACAATAGCTGGGTATAGAATGCTGCCTTGCAGTTCATCATCGCTGTTGGCAGAAAACTTTGATTTATAGAATTCAATAAACTTTTTTATGAATTAATGCCCTACTTTGTAAAAATGTGTCTTACAAAAGGTGTGAAAATAAGACATCTAGTTCAACGCATCATATTGGTTAATATAGCAGACAGACAAGCTACCAAAATGTCCAATCAAGGAATGGTTTTAGACTTCCAAAGTTTCCATCCCAAATCGAACACTTCCTGATCTACTATGAATTACCGGTATGCATTAAACGCAGATCAATAAAATCTGCATTACTCCAAAAAAAGCAAAGAACAAAAACATTCTTCTTTCTACTTTGGTAATTTTGGCTTTATTTTTGAGAATAAATCCCTCGGTTCCTACTGCTCAGGAGTCAAAGTAGACTTAAATTAACAGGGTTTGATATAAAATAAAAACAGAGAAAACCTCTAATTGCCTTATAATGTCATGGCAACCCAGACCCAGAGAACCCAACACCCCAAAAAATTCACCCGGCCCTTCCTCCCCCTCAATACACTATTCGCCCCTCCCTCCACCTCCCTTTGGGGAGAGCAGAAATGACAGCCCCGGCACCGGCAGGCCACCCAGACCCAACAACAGCCCCGGGCGGGGGCAGGGACAGGCTGCAGGGCCCATCGCCAGCCCCCACCACCCTGTCCATCCAAAAACAAATGAACAAATAAACTCTGGCTGGCTAACCCGTAAGCACCATGCAGAACCCCCACCTAGGACGCAGCCCGCACCCAGGGAGGGCATGGACCAGAACCAAGACAGGGGGCCAGACACCATGTCCTTCAAACATCCACAGCGGTAAATCCAGGGTTAACCTTTGACTATCTTATAATTTAGGAAGTTATTTTATACAGAAATAACTTGATGTCATTATCTGATGGATTTAACTGTGATGTGTGTAAAGATTTATAGAAAATAAAGATTTATATTTATATTCCTTCCCTACAACTTTAAGACCGTTTTCTATGGGAGCTGGTTAGATAACAGGACAGTTTAGAAAGTGGTCTGACTGACATGCAGTTCCGTGCAGCGAGGTCTCTGTGAATGATGCTCTTGCTGCTCAGATACTCCATCCCCCGAGCAATGTCCAGCATGAACTGGACCAGAGTCTGAAGCGAAAGGTCCTGTAACAGAGACAGCAGGTTCTCAGGAGTTCAGCAGGCACCCAGTGGCAAATATCAAATAGTCTTTGCTCACAAATGGCTCCTCTCCCAAACGTGAGAGCAACAGGAAGGTGTGCAGATCCCCATGCTTCATAAACGGCAGGACCACCATTGGGATTGGGAGCCGCTGGCCATGACGTCGGTGTAGACTCACCCCTATTGGATAGAACAGACTGTAAATGTTAGTCCAACGGCTCATTTTAGTATTTCTGTTTAGCTGGAGTGTTACCGATGAGCTTGATGACGTTAGGATGGTGAAAGTCCTTCATGTGTGCTGCCTCCTTCAGACATTGCTCAATGTCACCAGCAGAAGTGATGTCAGCTGCACCAGAACACAAACATTTAGATATTGCAGATTAGTCCAGTCTAAGTGAACCTGATGTAAAACCGTCTTCTGGGGCAACCAGCAACAATAGTCCCATTTACAGAAGGATAACAAAAAACTGTAGATTCAGAAAACCACTAAAGGATCAGGAGCTGATGGAAATATCAACAGCGATATGCTTTTAAGAAATACAGTGTTAAAAGATCTGGAAGATGTGCTGCAATGGATGCAGCCAGGGGCGGATTGAGGAAATGTGGGGCCCTAGGCAAAGACAGGCAGGGGGCCCCTCTGAATTGAGAAGACAACACATAAAACAGACCCATAGAGAAACGTTAATAGAATAGACATCCATTATCTGTTCTAGGTTTTGTCCCTCTCTTCTTGTCCCTTTTCTTCTTGTTTTCCTCTCTATGTTTTGTACTCAGCTGACTTTTTATGCTGTCTCAAAAGGAATGAAAGATTTTTTCCAAGCACGCTTAATATTATCAGCGTTCTGATGGCATTTTAGCCAAAGGATGAATGCGCACAAATAAGGAATAGTTGTATTAACCATACATGGAAACAGAGTTTTATGGGGCCCCCAGGAACTTGGGGCCCTAAACAACTGCCTAGTATTGCCTAATGGTAAATCTCCCACTGGATGTGGCTGGTGAGTTAGTGAACTATGGGATATAAAAACATCATGGAGGACGAATACATGACCTCCTAATGGATTCATGTTATGTAGCTTTTTCTTTGTCTGCAGTGCATTCTAGTCCTTGGATAAAGCTCCATGTCTTCCTCCGTGTCCAGATAAACCTAACCCTACCTGCTTCCAATACTCAAGCTCTGCACTGGTGGCAACACAATTCAGTGAGCAGTTTCTGAGGGGCAATCCTGGCCATTTCTTGGATCTCTAAAGCATCTTCTAATACCTCTTTGCATTAAGAATCTGCGTTAATAGCTCTGTTATTCTTGGCAGAGGTAACAGCCTCAGGAAGCCATTTTTATGGCTGCAAACCTTTTTTAGGTACAGTTCACATAGAAAGAGTGATTTCAGCCAGTCTGCAAATTAGACTGTTGCACTGAGTCTCCCAGCTTCACCCGTTCTACTGATAGGACTGAACTGATGGGGCAAAAACAAATTAAATGTCGACTTTTGATAAAGGAAGCTTTCCATTCTAATAAAATAGTCCTTGAAACATTATTGAATTGTTTCTGTACATAAAAAAACTAAAGCTGTATTTCTGTAGTTTAAAATGGTTTGATAGAGATGCAAAACATTGTGTAAAAAAAAGAAAATCAGAATCTGACTCACATTTCAGCACTTTGACGGCCACCTTTGACACCACAGATGAGTCCTCCCTCTTCAGAATGGCTTCCCGCACTGAGCCAAACTCTCCTGCAAAAGGTCGACATGCAAACATCAACATCCACTTATCCTCTGATCTACTTTCTTTTTTTCCGTTTCTGTTAGGGTCTCGGGCGTTTTGGTTTTTCTGGTGCGAGTGAGCTTCCTGTCAGAGAGGATCTTTGCTGGTGGTTGTGGCGACCCATGTTGCTGCACACCTGAGATCATTTCTCCACCCAGATGACCAGCATCTAAATAAGGAATCGAAGGATAATCTCTCTTCGCCGGATGATTTGGATTTTAGCCAAAGACCTAAACCAGAACTATTCTTCTGGTTGAAATTTGTTTTCTAGTGAATCTCTTTTATGTGGACTTATTGTTCCAGCCAACAGTGAACCTCCATTCTTCTCTGATCTTCATGGAAAAGGTCTCACCTACGCTCCATTCCCTGCCTGCCTGCTCTCCAGCATCACCCTCTTGTTCTCCTGGACCTCCGGGATTCAGTCTGTAAGGCCGATGAATCAAGCCTTACAGATCCATGGTGCCTCCTCTTCATCATAGGCAAATCCATCAGTTGTCATAAACCTACGCATTCTTGATCAGTTTCATTTTCAGGTTTTTACACAATCAAGAGCAACTGATCCAAACTCAACTAATCCAAGCCTGAAATCCCAAATGAGCCAGAAAGGTTTTGTAGAGGAGAGAGTGTCAGGAATCCAGTTAGTGTGGTCTGTTTTTGTGTTTCCTTTCCTCCTCCACCAGGTGGTGCCCCGTCCTCATTCGGCCTCCCTGCACACCTGCAGCTCGTTGCCTCATTACCTGTGGAGTGCTCTCAAGCTGCTGACTGCCACTACCTCGTCGCCAGAGTGTTTGCCAATACTGGGTACTCTAGCCAAGGCAAGCTGAGTTTGCTGAGTCAAACTGAGTTTCTTGTTTACCTGAGCCTAATCTTGCTGTTTTTGTCTTTGCCTTTCGGCAGGAATTCATTCTGCAAACTGGATGTTTTGGACCTTCTCTCCCCGGGAAGAATCTTCTGAGAACCAAACTGAGCTAAGGATTAGAGTTTGTGGTTTGGATCAACCTTTTCCCCCCAAGGATTGTCTGGGGCTTCTCTCTGAGGAGGGGATTCATCTCCACTATGACCCATTCAAGGACCGCAGGAAATCTAAGTGGCAATCAGCTTCTTTGTTCACCAAGGAACAACCGCAGTCTGAGTAAACCCTGTCCGCCCCATCATCAAACAGGACAATCACTTGAACATCCCACACAGACTGAATTCAATAAAGACACCTTTTCCTGGAAACGTGAGTCTGCAACCTATTCCTCCTCTTCAACTTAAAGAATCTAATTTCCCACTGAGCCCGAACTAACCGCAGTGTCTTCCCCCTCACTTTCAGTTCCGGCTTGACAGTGTTCAGAGCAGCACTGGATTCATCAACACTAAATAAACTTGTTAAACTTTTCCTGGTCTCTCCGTTTGCTCTTCTGCATTTTGGATCAGACCTTTAGTAAAATAGTGACAGAGAGAAGCAATGATGAGGAGGAATTTCAAACCGCCTCTTCCTCTGATCATAATCCAGATCTTTGGACACAAACTGAAACAATTTCAAGAGCTTAAAATACCCGCCCAGACTATCAGTAATTCTATATTATTAGTTTTACTAATTACGGCTGCAGGATCTCTGGTGGACTCTGAAAATATTGAAAAGGAGCAGCTAAAGCAGTGCTGCTGAATTAACTGAATTTTCCCACGAAGTGCCCCATTCAGCCCTTTGTAAATATAACTTGTTAATTAACATCCACTTCATTTGAAGGAATCCTCGCCTATTTTGCATACACAAATGGAAAAGCAGAAAACTGAGGAACTATAAGCCCAAATTACATGAGCGATACATCATTTGAAAGCTAATACCTTCTAGTTTCTGAAACTATACATGCAAATAGTGTGTGTGAAACACAGCTTAAGTTGCATCAGTTCAAACATGACTTATAGTTTTTTTTATTCTAATGTAATGTCTCATTGTGTTACATTAGTTCTACATCATGTCAACCACAAATGCAGAACATTTCAGACCTTTAGCTGCAACATTTCCAGAGCTGTGGGGCTTTGAACTTTTGGTGTCACCAGCATCTCCAAAAATCTCAAATTGTGCCAAATGCTTTTACTCAACTATTTGTGGCCACAAAACATTTATAAGGCAAGTATTTTTTTTAACTTTTTTTCAGAATAAATAAAAAATAGTGAAACTGCTGCTTTTCAAGCTAAAAAAAAAGCCCCAGTGTCTTTTCTTAGATGTATTTTTATTTTTTTCGCATTGTAATGAAACAAAACCAGCGTCCAAACTTCAAAGATATCAGACCGTTGTAAGTAAACAGCTTCGAGCTGAGCGCATTGATCCAGCCTCAACTATGTATTTCACTCTAACGCAAACCGCTAACACAGCTCTGCTTTATATAACGCAGCCATAGAAAGCTACAAAGCCAAACAGCCCACGTGGTCCACGTGGTCTTAACCAATAAGAGCAGGACTCAATGAGGCGTAATATCGCTCTACTCAGTGCGTCATCGGCTGACAGGCAAGGAGCGCTTGGGAGACCTCGCCGACTTTAACTGACTCGAATCCAGTGATAAAAACATGAGGACAATTTTGTCTTCTAGGTAAGAAGACGATGTAAAAAAAAAAACAAATATCGTGGCCTAACGTCAGCCTTATTAACAATCTATGAACTTCTAACTTTTCTAACGTCAAAAATCGGATGTTATGTGGCGATTTTCTCATCTAGAACATTTTTATAATGAATATGCTGGATTACATTCAATCTGTGGACACTTATAGACGAATGGAGTATAAACAATTGAAGATTGGATTTATAAAACGGCTTTTGGATGCCTTTAAAGGTACGTAGCAGTGGCTGCTTTGTTTTTTTACATTTTGACAGGCTACTATTTCTGTGTTAATTGTGCTTTGGTGCTTGCTGTGTCCATCAAACGATCTTGGTGATCGAATTGTGGAGAATCTAAGCTTTCCAACGATGTCTAACATGTCTATATTGGTAAACATTTTACTGGTGGAATCTTCATGCTTTCTGAGTTAAAACGGAGGCCGGCGATTGGGTGGATTTTATTAAAGGATGAACTGATTAAAAAAATAAAAAAGACAATTTTTTCTAGTTCAAAATAAAATAGAAAAGTTTGAAACGAAGCAGGAATTTAGGTGAAAGGGCTCCAACCAAGTACTCCTGCCAGATGATTAGTAGGAAACAGACGTAATCCTCAGGAGGCACATATCTCTGCATTAAAAGTCGGTTTGATGATTGTAAATCTGCCCTAAGCCCTGATCATCTGCTGTTAGACCAGCCTAATGTTAAGCTGTCCCCATCCAGACTGACTGGGAAAATCCAAATCTAAAATAGGCATTTCTTCTTATAATAAGTGCATTTGTACGGTACTTGGCTTAAGGAGGTAAAAGAGACACTTTACCAATGGAACAAGACAATTTATACTTTAAATAAGAAAATAACAATTGCACTGTATCTATATATTTATCAGTAACCAAAGTTCTGGTCAGGTTTGTACCGACTGGTTTTTAATAGTTGTGGTACCTTTTCCCAGCATGTGTCCCAGAGTTAGAAGTCTCTCTGGAATCAGGACATCCTGCAGCTTGTTCTTCAGCTCGTTGCTGATGCAGAGACTCTCCACTGAAAGGAGACAGAAAGTCACAGCCTTTTAGTTTCGCCCCCTAAGATCACTGAAACACTTTAACGTTTCTTCTGGTGAGAAGATGAGGACGAGGAAAGCTGAGTTTCCATTAGTCAGACTGCTTCAGCGTTAGGCTGACATCAAACACAGAGCTGGGAAATAGATGTACGGAAGAGGATTAGGGCCACTGAAAAAAAAAAAAAGTTAACTGATTTTTTTTTATTTTATTTCAGTATAGTATAGTCAGAGATTAAAGTCAGAATTCTGACTTTAATCTCAGAATTCTGACTTTTTTATTGTCAGAATTCAGTCAGAATTCATGTTAAACTGAAATAAAATAAAAAAATCAGTTAACTTTTTTTTTTTTCAGTGGCCCTAATCCTCTTCCATATAGATGCGACATGTAAAAATCTGTTTTTACTTGATGCCTGAATGCATCTGCTGAAAAAAAAGAGCTGCTCCTAAAGAATGAAGTCCTACCTTCTTAGTAAAATCCTAACCTGTAATTACGCCCTCTTAGGGTTGAGTTTCAGAAACCACACCCAGGCCTGATAACTGCCAGACGTAAAGAGGCTGGAGATCAGGAACAGAACCAGTCTAACAACAGGAAGGTACTCATCATGTCCCCATCTAAAGATGAACACAAACAGAATCCCTGAGGCTCTTCTGAAGCTTTGAACTTCCACAGAACCACGGGTGCTTCTAGATGGGGCCAGTAGGGGCCAACAGGCCCCAGCCCAAGCTTTGGTCCCTTTACTGACAACATTGTACTAAATCAATTGATGACGATGATACGCACCGGCACAAGAAGTGTGACTGAATGCTTCCTTGGATGGATTTCGATTTTAGCTTAAAAACAACTTTAAAATGAAGGTGTTGCACCTTCAGCTTTACATGCGTTCAGACCCCAATGCTAGCTCTGGGGTCTGCAGGAGTAGCAAACGGTCCACTGACCATGTGGCTTTTTACTTTTATATCATCATTTTGTACTATGCTCTGAGAAAACTGCCCTTCTAAGTTCAAAAGGTTTGGAGCTGCTGCTGCCAGGAGCAGAAACTTCCAACATGACCCCCACAGCACAGCAATAATCCAAAGAATACCAGAAACTCTGAATCACAAAGCAGATGTTTTGGGAGTGGCCTATTCAAAGCCCAGGTCAAAAAGGTGAGAGATAAGCCCCATTTCCACTACCCTCTATAAACCCATCTGTGCCCAGTTCGGATCCTTACAACAGTTTCCACGCCACGCTAGCACGTTTCCTCGCCTCCTAATGCTACGTTTACACCGGACGCAGCGGGCGCGGCAGAAGCAGCGAGTTTACATGCAAAGTCAATGGTTGACACGCGTCAAGGAACAGCAAAAGGTCCCGCAGCACATTTTGAGCAGCAGGCGCAGCGCGTCTGAGCAGCTGAAGCAGCACGTCGGGCGTGTTTAAGCATCTGACGCGTGTGACGCGCTGCTGCTCGAGATGGAAAAATTAAACTTTTGCTGCTCGACGCGCCGCATCAACCAATCAGAGAAGCTGATCTGGGAGATTATGAAGTTTTCAGGTGGATTTTCTCACTTTAAAACATATTAAAACTACTTTATTCCCACTGATCACAGCAAATATAGCTGCAAGGCAAAGAAAGGATAGAGTAGCTCCGCCCAACGTGCGTCAAACACGTTTGCACCGCGCAGCCAGAGCAGCAAAGCTGCTTCAGCCGCGCGTCAGAACTAACTGGTACAAGCAGCAAAAAGGAAGCAGCAGACGCGATTTTGCTGATCCTGCTGCGTCCGGTGTGAACGTAGCATAATGGCGATCTCCGGTACTACTGCTCTCTAGAGCAGAGGTCTTCAAAGTTTTCCAGGCCAAGGACCCCCAAACTGATGGCGAGATGGAGTTGGGACCTCCTATTTATATTTATGTTATGAAACTGGTCCTATAGTCACTCTATTACATATGGAGTCATGTAACGAAAGTAATTTCGCCCTGAGATTATTTAAGTATTTCTGATTCCTCATTGATGGGACAGGTGTTGTGAATGAAACGGTGCCCATCCTGAAAGAGCTCCTGTGTGCATTGATGACTGAAAGACATCTTCTGCCTCCATTTATCTGTTTACTACAGTGTGTAGTAAACTGCAGGAGGGAATATAAAAAAAAGTAATCAAACAAAACTTTCGCGACCCCCATGCAGTACCTCTGTGGACCCCCTAGGGGCCACGGACCCCCTGTTGAAGACATCCTCTCTAGAGGGAAACAAGCAAACCAACATGGCGGCACCCGTAACATTCAGCAAGTTTGCGGCGATTCAGGCCTTTGGTGAATTTACTTGATAGTTGGATTTTGGGAAGTGGATGTGACAAACGATAGTCTAATCAGGGCTTCCAGACGCAGAAAACAAAAACAGACGTTGATGTTCATCACACTGCTAAGCAGAATCATCCCTGGAAATCACGTGGCACCGTAGGGAAGCTAGGATTTTTATTAATGTCTGAAATGTCTGATTACGGAGGCTGACTGTAAGGAGATGATGCGGTCTGCTCATACGCTCTTTGTTATCTTAGAACCGAGCCAGAACTGAACCGCACCGAGCCCTGCTGATTAACTAGTACCATGTTAGTGCGGTTCGGTTGCGTCTGGTTCATTCCGGGTCAGTTGTGCGTACCATTTACACTCCACAGTTATCTTAGTTACCGTGCTCGGACCGATCTCAGCACGGTTTCAGAGGGGTAGTGGAAATAGAAATGGGTTTATAGTGTTACGGCTTGAAACCACCCAGTGTGACCAGATTAAAACTATTCTGCAAAGAGAAGGGAGCACAGATCCTCCACAGAAACACCCAGGAGGTGATCCAGATCTAACCAGATTATCCTCCTTTTAAAACCAGTGAAGATTGTTCTCCATCTCTGTCTGCGCTACACAGACTTTTTTTTAAAACACCTCCATGTTCTGATTTAGACAAACTTTTACTCCATTATTACTTTTATTGCTATGAAGCCTATCTGTGAAAGGTGCAATAAAACTGTAAACTACACGGTTACCAGAATGTTCTTAGACAGAGACAGATGTGACCCCTGCAGCCGGCAGGTGAGATTAAATGATTTATGTCAACTATCAAAAAGGAAACACAATAAATGAAGCCTGGTTTGGATCTGAAACAGAGCAGCTGCTCCTTGGCGTCTCATCCAGCTAACATCTGAAGGAGGCGCAGACTTTTCCACAGCTCTGTGCTCAAAGAGGCGTTAAATGTCTGCTCCACCTCAGAATGAGGGACAGGATGTAGGACAGGTCAGACTCACAGGTGGACTCATGGAAATCATTCCCGTTTCTGCTGAAGGATCGAGCTGCCGTGAAGAACACCGACGTCTCAGGACCAGGAGCCTTAAAGGCCGACCTGCAGGCAGAGAGCAGCAGAAAGACTCGGTGTCATCCATCTGAGCAGACATGCATCCTCACACACACCGGGCATCGTACCCAAACTTTGTCTCCTTCCCTCTGCGCTGGGCGGCGACTGCGAGCAGGAGGCCGACGATGGTGGCCACGAGCAGGCCGAGCAGGAGGCCGACCCACACGTGGCTCCGCTGCACCTGGACCTGCGCTGTGGGAGAGCAGGCGGGCAAACATCAGTCCCACTTAGAACAGAACCAAACAGAATCCGCCTTTATTTTTCCCTCCATCAGGAGGAAACATCAAAACTGATCCTAATGAATAACTTAACAACCGGCTAAAAGCAGAACAGGAAGAAAACATCACATGGAGAGGGCACCTAGGGCAGGCAGCACCAGAACCGGGGGGCTCCAAGGTCCACAGCCGACGGCGGTGCAGGCCGCCACCTGGATGGAGGCGTTGAAGAAACGCCCTCCCCCTGAGATCTGAGCAGTGTTGTCCTTAAACAGCAGTGGCTCCTGGAAACACAGCATCAGGTTGTTAGGTACCGGTCCATCCGGTTCTGGGACACCCCCAGGGGATGCCGGTATGAGCCTGTCCTGGCTGAGGAGAAGGAAAACACAGCCCCAGTTCCCCTAAACACATTCCCAGTAACATAAAGCGCCTCAGACTGGGTCTTTACTAAGATCTAGGAAGAAAATCATTTAACGGCATCAACAGGTCAACAAAGATCAGTTTCGCCATTAAGGTGGAGAAATTGGTCTGTTGATGATTTATTCATATGTTTTGAATCTTTGTGGTGTTAATAATCGGGTTTCTGTTTCTGACAGAGGTTAAGAGGAAACTGGATTTTTCTGACATGCTAAGACATGTCGAGGCAGGGAGAATAACAGGAAGGCTCATCATGTTAACAGGACCTTTTGGGAACACTCTGGATGGAGATTAACTCAGAGTTAAGGTTGATTTACTCTCTCCATACGCTCTCCATAAATAAATACAGAATGCTAGCCACGCTAACTGCTGACGTAAGAAGCTGAGCAGAGGTGCGTCTGCAGACCTGCTCCTCCATCAGGGTCAGAACAGATCCAATTAAACGTTGAATAAATGATCAGTGGTCAGAGTCAGGGACCGTGAGTGTAGAGTGCTGCTTTCACCTGTGGTTCCCCTCCATGAGTCCACTGCAGCTTGTAGGCCAGCAGCCTCCCCTGCAGCTCATCCTCCTTCAGCCGGGCCCACTGCAGAAACAGCTGCTGCTCAGACAGCTGGAAGCTCAGGTTCCTTGGGGCCGCAGAGGGCACTGCAGGGAGGGTCAAACAGTCAGGGTTAGTTCCACAGCAATGGGGGGGTACAGCTTCAGCTGCAGTCCTGCAGGGGGTGCTGAAACCCCTCAGCCTGCTGTAATTAATGGATTGAGGCCACAAACAAAAGCTCTTTGTACAGAGGGGACTGGAATCTACTGGAGTGGATCCAGCTGGACCCCCCCCCCCCCCCCCCAGCCTCAGCTGTAAGCAGGGAACCAGCAGCTCCACTGTTTACTGATGAAGCTCTGCTCAGCACCTGACTCTAAACAACAACCCAGATTTAGGCCCCTAGACGGGCCCTCACTGTGGGCCCCTGACCGCAAAGGTTCCTTCACCTGACTCCGGAGTGACGAAGTGCAGCCATGGGGAGAACGGGGAGGGTCCCACCTCGTTCACACAGGACACCCTGCAGCTGTAGTTGGAGAAGCTCCTCAGGCCCGTCAGCGTGTGTTTGTAAGGAGGAACCGGGACCTCCTGCGGGGGGAGGGCCCACCTGCGGCCCGAGATCCTCACCACCTGCAGGAGAGGAGGTCTGCTTCACGTTTACCACCTTAGTGTGTGTGTGAGTGTGGAGTGGGTTTACCTGAATTGTACAGTGGGAGATCTCTGAATAACCATCGGATCCTGGTTTCCATGACAACGTGATGTTGTTGCCTGTGGTCCTGAGAAGCTGCAGAGCGGCCGGAGCTGCTGGCAGCACTGAGGCACACAGACAGGCGGGTCAGGTCCCCCCTCCCATGGAGGCGCTGCAGGACTTCATCACCGGACTCACCTTTAATGTGGGCCGTCCCCGTCCGGGACACGGAGATCCCTCTGGTGTTCTTAGCTTCACAGTAGAACTTGATGCTGCTGTTCACACCTGAACACAAACAGTTCCTGGATGTTAGCTGAACGGACAGGATGGAGGATTTTCCTCCAAGGCTGCAGGTCGGCACCACCTTCAAACATCCACACCTGATCATACGGAGGCTCTTTACGAACAACTGTTTGCAAGCCACAGATTTTTAAATCCATTTAGGCTGGACTTTGACTAGGGCAGGGGTCGGCAACCCAAACTGCTCAAAGAGCCATATTGGACCAAAAAAACAACCTAAGTGTATTATCCCACTATACAAAAGGACTACGTGGGCTTAAATATATAATAAGCATTCATGATTAAATGTTTATCCTGGAGCAAATGTCACATAGCAGCATGAGGTGATGGACGAGCAGTTTAGGTTTGGTCTCATTGATGAAATAATAGAAACAGGATAAAGGAATCTTTCTGATGGAGCTGATGGAGTCATGAGGAACCAAGCAGGAACTGACATCCATCAGAGCAGAGCTCTCTAACCCTGAAATCCCGCATCCTCCGTCACCAGCGTTCCTTGGTGGGATTTAGATTTTTAGGATTTGGGGAAAAAATGGAGGAAAGTTACCATCCCTGCATCAGAGCACTACCTGTTGGATCTGAGAACGTTTTTCTATGCTTAAACCAAACTAGCAGCAGTAGTAGAGTTTGGAGATTCAATCTATTTCTTAAATCTATCTTTGCTCTCTTCTAATTCATGCAGAAGTTCTGCAATGGCAATTTTTCTCTCCCTCCCAGCTTGGTGGCCGGCTGCATATTTAGCATGGAAATGCCTTTCCAAATTTTTCTTTTTATTTATTGACAACCTCTCATTACAAAGCAAAAACGCAGGCAATCCTTCTACATTTTCTCATCAACTATCTTCCTTTTTTTCCCTTTGGGATCCATGGTCCAAGAAACACCTGCTGCTTTGTTTCCCTGGCAACGCGCCGCGCTGGTTCCAAGTTACAACCACTGATCTCTGTGGCTATGACGCAAATTATTGTTTAAATTTATTTATTATACACATTCTTACAGCATTGGAAAACATAAAGAACATTTGTTTGTCCTCCCATACACTATA